ACAAATATTTCCGGGTTTATAGTAAAGTCGCTTTAGAAGAGCACATTACCGTTCATACGTGTACCAACAAACATTTCTCTTGTGTTGAATTTGTTCATGTTCATTTCATTGCCCCAACAGTTAATTTACAGCAAAAATTAATAAATTCTAGGATTTGCTATTTAAGGATTTTAGTGGCAAAGGCATTATATATATATATACATGGAAATCGTTCATTCAGGTACTCTCGAACAATGTTTGCGTAGTGACAAGATGCACCACCTTGCTGAAAGACGACGGTGTTCAATATCCCATCCCCAACCAAGTGGGGTTATAGTAACTTCTGCAACATGTCCAGATAACTAGCCCCTGTAACTGTAGCCTCAGCAAAGATAAAGGGTCCATAAATCTTAGATTTAGTCAAACCCAACCAGACATTAACTTTAGGAGTATCTATTTCCCATTGATAGGAGGCATCAATTAGTCTTTCATTAGCCCACATGTGACAGTTATGACGATTAACCTTTCCACACGTATGGAAAGTTGCTTCATCACTAAAGAGAATGTGGTCCATTAAATTTTCATTCTGAATGCATTCAACGAGATCGGCACACATTGCACTTCGCTGTGGATAGTCCTCTTCATGCAAATCAAGTAAAACCTGAAGGTGATAACTTTTATCATGCAAATGTGATGTCAAAATTTTGTAGACCGTTGAATTGGACAGCATGAGTCTTGGTGATGCGGCAAGAATCGACGTGCGTGGTTCTTCCGTGATAGCCTTTCGTAATGCATTTACAGCATGCTCTGAGATACGTGAACGTCCAGATCTAGGTTCATTAACAAATCCCGTTCTTTTGACATTATTCAACAATTCGCGTATTGTCTTGTCTGTAGGACCTGGCTTATGAAATTTTCTTTCAAACTTCTCTTTAATTTCTTTGCATTTCTTTCTTTGAATACGCAATGTTACCACCACCACACGTTCTTGCACATCCATCTTCATAGTGTTCTGAAATACCAATTAATAAAACCCGTTATTTCACTGAAATAGGTAGGAACTTTATAAACACCCTCTATAATAATTTACAGTTTAAATATTCACAAGGTTTTATATTAAATGCATGTATATATTATAAATAGATTTTTAGGCTTAATATTAGCTATTCACTCCGTAATATAGACACATGGTTAATTACAACTCTGTCAGACAAAACGTTTAAATTAGACACTAACAATTATGTGTGTAATAAATGGAAAAGGTAAATTGTGTATTGAAAAAATCCAATAGAGATTTATAACGTATTATAATTATATTCAGAATTTGCCAGGAATCGCTGTTCCTTATTACTCAAAAATACAGATTAGTCACTTTTCTCTTCTCAAACGTATAACTACTTAGTTGGTGTGAATTTAAAGTGATGGGTAAATAGTTTTCACTCCTAGTTATTTCTCAAGATCATTTATAGAGATTTTAATCAGCACAGAAGTCCTTTGTGGCCTCTCAAATGCATATGGAATTTTTGCACTGACCCATAATCTCCCTAATAGAGTAAAGCAGGCTAGTTTGTAATAGAATCCCGTTGATCCGTTGTCACAAGCAAGATCATCGAAATTTGGATCAAAATCACCTGGTTTGAACAACCCAAGATTAAATGCAAGTGATTTTCACTGATAAAACATTAAACAATAATTAACATTACCTTCTGGTCAGAAGAAACCACCTACTTGGTTGTTTGTTGTTCATTAGCGCAAAACAACTAGGCTATCTGCTCCTCACCTACTTAGAACGCTGTTCATTAGCGCAAAACAACTAGGCTATCTGCTTCCCACCTACTTAGAACGTTGTTCGTTAGAGTAAAATAACTAGGCTATCTGCTCCCCACCTACTTAGTTGTTTGTTGTTCATTAGAGCAAAACAACTAGGCTATCTGCTCCCCACCTACTTAGTTGTTTGTTGTTCATTAGAGCAAAACAACTAGGCTACCTGCTCCCCACCTACTTAGAACGAAATTAAAAATCAACCTAGCAAGACACAAAGATATTTAAATATACCTTTCTTACGTTTTTTGTATACCCTCGTTATTGACGATATTTTCGACCATAAACCCAATAAAGTTCGGACAGATTAGGAAATTTAGATCAGTCCAAAATTCATTTATTAAGCTAACAATGCAAAAAATCTCTACAATAAAGTTGTAGTAATCTACATATACACAATACAAAATGTGTGTGTCTGTATGTTTGTCCGTTATCTACCTACTCCTAGGTCACTAAGCCAATCTCAACCAAACATTCTGAAATGATAGTTTGGAACAAGGGGCATACTCCATTATTGCTGTTATTCAGCATTTATTATATTTGACTGAAGATAGTGTTAACAATATTTTAGATGGCGCCACCTCCTTACACCGAACAAATAACTTTATACAAAAACATATAAACTGTGTGGGGGTAGGGCACATAAACGTCTTATATATCTCAGAGATTGCGCTAGCACTATCTATGGAGGAATGCAATGAAAAAAATGGCCGCCAATATTGCAGTAATACATAAACTCAGCTAAAGTTTCTACTCCAACAGCCACCATAACGCTAATATGAAAAGCCACTTTGACACGTGACCTTTCAACTTCGGCCCGTAAGACACTTATGCGGCCAATGACCGTTTATTAATTAATCACATGAACTGGATGTTGAAAGCGGTTAACAGAAAGCAAGCTTACCGCCACTACTTTTGCTGCTACCTCTTCTTACAAAGTCAACCTCACTATCGTACAGTGTATACCATGCTTTAAGTAAATACATACTGAATTCTTAAAGCTTATATAAAAGTTTGGTGAGGTAATAATGAATACTGGGAGAATATATTACGTTATAAATAAATTGTGTGAAAGTTAAGATATTTATCAAAGCATTCACCCACACAAAGGACTGGTACCTCAGTTTCTAAAAAATAAAAATACCAATGTATATATATATATATAACACATTGTTATCAATACTGTTAATGAAAGTAACACTAAAGAAATAATACAATATATCTTATGAAACACGCTAACACTAACTGTTGGCTTCAAATACTGTCGAAAACTTAATTTTTTTGAACAATTTGATGCATACTGCTGTAGAAATTATACTCTTGCTAGTCTTTCTACCAAACATTAAACATTACCTAAGCCAGAGGTGTAATATTAGACTAGTACTTTCTAGAAAAAATGAAAGGAAAATGAGGTGAACATAGTATATATCTACATATTTAAAAGGGTAAGGTGAGAACTGCTAACCCTAAAGACAACTCCATACATGTCGATGTCTTGACGATTTCTAGGCCTTCACAGAAAATGACCATGTTCTGTACGTATCCAGTAGTCCACAGACTTGTGTCCGAACGGTCAATCTTGACAGCCTTGGTCAAGGAGTATTTAGTGTCACAAATAAAGGTAAGTTTTTGTTTGCCTTAAAACGTAATCATTCTATAAAGATTATAATTAGTTGTCGTTTCTGAGCTGATGAACGCAGTAGTTTCTTTTTATTGTGTTAGACAGCAAGTTTTGATACTTTACTGTTAGATTTTCATTTTAATTTTTACATTTTCATATTTGAATTACCACAATGTAGTTTCTTGGATTATAAATACATCATTTGGTGGTCTTCTAGGTGATTTAGCAAGATATTTAAAAATAATAATTTACCATTCTATTATAACAATAATTATGAACACATCATTTGACTGTGTTCTTCTGGTGTTAAGAAGATTCAACAAAATAAGGTAGCAGTTAGATTTCCACTTAATTATAAGAATTAGAGATTATAACAGTTATATACGTTATTGTTTTAGTAATTTAAAAGTATAATTTATTATAGGTGGGTGTAGAGACACAGGTGGCGCTCAGGATATAAAGCAGCTGTTAAGTCACGTGCTCATCTCTCTGGTTGTTGCTCATGTCCTGAATTTAATACTGAGTGACGACGGCAACCCCTATCGGTGATGAAGAGAAATAATTCAATCGGGTCAACATTTGGTGGCTGTGATCATGAATATTATTATTACGCTGTGCAATGTTCCAAATGTATTGTCCACAGCCCTAGAATAAATAAATAAACAGTATTATATGTATAAATATACATACACTCATTTATAAATAAATACATACGTTTATTGCGACAGATATGGATGAAGGTTTCGATCAAGGAAAGCAGTGAACTACACGTTAAGTTATCTCGACCATAATGGTAAAATACTATCTTTTTTTTTTATCCGAAATAACTTTACCTTAGGTTTAATATGTCGCAATTAACTGTTCGTGAAAGGTATTATTTTGTTGAAGTCATTAACGGTATATCACGAACCACTGAAATTAGAAGGTCGCTATAAATGGCTTAATTAATAGTGATCATGAAACGAGTATAGTTTAACCCAACTTTCTCTACAATGTATGAAGCAGTAAATGTGAAACACGTGTGTGGATTTATCCGATAATAAGACGAGTAACCACCTCATTACCAAAGAACGTAGAGAAGATAGTTCTTGAGGGTTCATTACCGCATCTTGGTAAAAGTAAAGCTATACTGTGTCATAGCAAGCATCGGTTTAACGTTTCCTTCCTTACTGATCAGATCAACCGAGAGTGTTTATGATTTCACTACAATGAAAAATGTTGGTGAGGTTTGAGATCAATGTGGATATAAAAGTAAAAAACAGGCCTTCTCGATTCCAAATTACACTTGTTACTGGTGAGGTTTGAGATCAATGTGGATATAAAAGTAAAAAACAGGCCTCTCGATTCCAAATTACACTTGTTACTGGTGAGGTTTGAGATCAATGTGGATATAAAAGTAAAAAACAGGCCTCTCGATTCCAAATTACACTTGTTACTGGTGAGGTTTGAGATCAATGTGGATATAAAAGTAAAAAACAGGCCTTCTCGATTCCAAATTACACTTGTTACGTGTTATCTTGAGGAATATGTCATGATTAGATGAAAATCTTTCTAACTGCGAGCTTCGTTCCTCTCTAAGACAATGTACTGAAAGATGATTTATAAAGCAGTTGATACACTTGTAAAACTTTCCTTTTCCTCAGCTAGTACAAACAATAGGTTAAAATCAAAAGCATGTAACTTATGCTATCATAGTTCGAGTCCCGCAGAATAACATAGTTCGAATCCCGTAATATTACAATGTTCGAGTCCCACGGTGCAACATACTAGTTGTTGCCCATTTTCATAATTCGCATGTTAACGTGAAAATAGTATTGTATGCTCTATTTATTCAAAATTAACATTAAGTTTAAACTTTAGCCACAATGTACTCATACGTATGCATAAGGCAGTCCAGATTTCCCTATTAACGTGCCTTGTAATACACTCTTACTTCTTCTGGCTTCATCTCAGTAAAATTTAGCCAAATCTACTATTATGCAAAGAAAGTTTCTCTGTTGTATACGAAAGAGTAATAAAGTTCGCATTGTTAGGAATTACGTTTTGTTGATTCATTTATTTTGAATATTGAGAAAAACATCTATGTACAATCTAGTTTCAATGCTGCTAGACTCAGAAAGTTAATAGTTATTCTAGTATTGAGAAAATTGGTTTTACTTTTCACACTAAAAAAAAATCAATAAAATTACTTGCATTTAGAAAGATAATTATATAACGCATACTTGGTTTTAATAAAAGATGATTGGAAATAAATTTTACTTTCCAGCCTACACTCGAAAATATATTTACAGGCAAACTTAAATCACTATTTTTCTGGTTAGTACTCGCCATGTTAGCGAGTTGTTGCAGGTACTTGTAATAATTCAGAAGGAGAGCAATTTGCTGTTTATAACTTGTTGCTGTTGGTTTTTAATGCCCAGTCTATTTGTTATTGCTCCTGGTTTTGTAACGTCCAGCATATATATATATATATATGTTGTCGCTGCTGCTGTTTTTGCAATGTTCTGTTTATTTTACTGTTGTTTTTGTAATGTTAAATTTATATCTTCCTTCTTCAGGTTTCCTAATCTCCAGTTTATATGTTGTTGCTGTTGACTTGGTAATGTACAGTCTATGTTTTTACTCTTGGTTTTGTAATGTCCAGTTTATATGTTGTTGCTGTTGGTTTTGCAATGTACAGTCTGTGTTTTTACTCTTGGTTTTGTAATGTCCAGTTTATATGTTGTTGCTGTTGGTTTTGCAATGTACAGTCTATGTTTTTACTCTTGGTTTTGTAATGTCCAGTTTGTATGTTGTTGCTGTTGGTTTCTTAATGTCTAGTTTATAAGTTCTTACCTCTAGATTTGTAGTATCCAGTTGATATATTGTATATTGTAACTGTTGGTTTTTTTTAATGTCCAGTTTATAAGTTTTTACAGCTGGTTTTCTACTGTCCATTTTATATCGCGTTAATATAGTGTTAACAATTACATATCCTAATTACGATATCTAAAGATTTAATCAAAATAGAAGAAAATATATTTCACCAAATTATCAAATTCACACCATAACAAATATTGTTTGAATAATTTTATAATATAACTAGTTTCTTGACCACTATTATATTGGTTGTATCCAATCCGGCCTAGAAAGTGCAGGTATTCTGTTAAATCCCTTGTTGGAATTGGATGTGTAAATATAGTATAGTTGAAGTGTTATTATACACACTTTGTTCTTATTTTAACTCAAATGTTCTTATAATTCATGATTATAAAACCTTCAGATGACTCTCCTATATCCATTCCTTACGCAATAGATCAGAGAAACACCAAATCTACTAAAAATAAGTGAGTAAGGAGCTATAAAATGGAATTTTGCTCTCGTCAAATTGTAATCCTTTGAAACCCTCTTCAGAAACGCTGTTCCTATTGGAACAAACAGAGTTCAAAGTCACAAAACGTCTTCGCCTTTTTCAGGCCATTGATTTTTTTCTAAGTTTCTTTTATCTTTCTCATTGAGTTTCACCGCTGCTTCAGTTTTCGAGCAGTAAAGAAAACTTTCTTCCAAATACAATGTAACCCTAAACGAAGATGTAACATCATAAGCTCTCCAAAATTTAGATTTAAGAGCACGAGCTCCACCAAAGTGTAGACGGTATGTCAGAAATTAAAGCACACTTATATTTAAACCAACTTTCAATTTTTTCCTTACTCAAAGGGATCACATGAATTCCGATACAGTCCATTTACATTCACAATGGTATGATAATATTTAAGATACAACCCATCTTTCTAATTATTTATACTTAGAATGGTTTGTCAGTATTTAAGATACAACCCAGCGTTATTATTATTATTATCTATACTTACAATGGTATGCTAGTATTTAAGGTAAAATCCATCTTTCTTATATAAATAGAACAACTCAATCTTACTCTAAATTTTATAAAACCACAAAGTTCCTACTCAACGTGGTATGATAATACTCAAGCCACTGCTCATCAGTTATACTAAATATATTGTAATGGTATGATAGTGTTGACGGAATTTCTCAGGAAAGAAAGGTGAAGAATGGGACTTGATCAACTTTACTGTTCAAAGGTTGGAAGTTATTCTTGTATACGTCCCTTCACTTGGATTAAAAATTCGTTAATCACTTTCCTGCAAGATCCGAATAACTTTACTATTACAAGGCGTTGTTTTGTTACTATTGAAAATTAGTTGTCCCGGTGATGGAACAATAGTTTTTGTTAGTTGTATTGATTGCTAGATTGGTGTTTAGTTTGATTTATGTAGGTAACTTGCTTTGATTAGAAGACAATATTAATTTTTCTGACTACATTCAGTTAAACCGAAGCTAAATATTTCGTTACTTGTGATAATTCCCAAAGCTATATGAACCCTCTACTTTTATCAAAAAACTGCATAATGGGTTTCATATTCACTTCTCGCATCATACAGCGATATTCTGCCCACATCATACAGTAAGTATCAGGTCACATCATACAGTAAATATCAGGTCACATCATACAGTAAGTATCAGGTCACATCATACAGTAAGTATCTGCCTACATCATACAGTAAGTATCAGGTCACATCACACTACAATACATCAGTTTTCAGTTCACGTCTTACAGCAATGCACATCAGGACTAAACTGGTTAAATTAGTTTGAGCTTACCTAACCAGATATGTAAGTATGATGAAATGCTACACGAAGAAGTTTAAAATGCCTTAAAACAGGCAAATAAATCAGATTATATTTCTAATAATTCGCCAGAACTTATCTTGTTTCCTACGAAAGACGGTTTAATGTTAAAAAGCTTTCCAGTAAACTGAAAGATTCAATAATTTTGTGGATAAAACTGTATCAGATCAGTGCTTATAAATAAAATATATCTAATCAATATAAATTTTAATGAACTATTTATGTTCAAAAATAAGACTAATAAATAATCGTCATTTGAAAACATCACCACATGGTGTTTTGTTAAGTTATAATTGAGGTTTTATAGCTTATTTTGGTTTATAAATTCCAATCAAAGGATTACAAACTCGAAATTACAATGCATCTTAACTATGCATTTACTCTAAAAACTTGAATAATAGTAACATTTGCTAGAGGTCTTTAAAAGATTAGAAAAATTAAATTATAGAAATTAAATCTTACCCGATACTTTAGGACCATTATACAAAATTGTATTTAGACTCATAACGGCCAATGCATAAAATTTTATTAAGACTCATGAGGATCTAAGTACAAATTTTAATTACCTTTCATGAGGATCTATGTACAAATGTTAATTACCTTTCATGAGGATCCATGTACAAATTTTAATTACCTTTCATGAGGACCCATGTATAAAATTTTATTTAGGCTCATAAGGCTCATAAGAACCTATGTACGAAATTGTATCAAGAATCATAAGGACCCATGTATAAAATTGTACTTGGACTCATAAGGACCCATATATAAAATTATGTTAAGGCTCATAAGGACCCATGAATGATTTTTTTTTCAAAACTCATAAGGACCTATGTACAAATTGTAATCAACTTTCATGAGGACTTATTTATAAAAGTGTATTTAAACTCATAAGGACCTATGTATAATATTATAATAAAACTCATATGATTGCTATTGAGAACCGTTGACATTGTATCTTGTGCAAAGTAATTTAACTACACTATCAGTTATTGGGTGAAAGACCCAATGGTTCAAACCCACACTACTGCGTGTTTACGTATACTCCCACCATCTGTGGACAGTTGTGGGTATGGAGTTTTTTGTTTTTGTTTTTATTAAGCCCTCAACTGGTAGAATGGGGTTAGAATGACCCACGTTTATTTATTAAGTCGATATTCCAACGCAGCTGGTGCTGCCCTCTTTTGAATGTTTTCTGTACTGTATCCTTAATCGGTTCTTGAGTAGAGCGGATGTGCTGTTTCACTTCTCTTTCCTACTGTTATAATCGTTTGTTTGTCGATTGAGGATCATTCTGATCCCACCGTATTAGAAAGATAATATTACAAATGGGTCATTTTGACTCACTCTACCACTCGTGATACACATATTTTACCATATCGTTTGGCCGTTAAGTATCAATTTTCTTTTTTAATTAATGAGAGTTGAAAACATATCGTTATAAATTACTCAACCTTTGGAATGGTTCGTATCTATCCCAGTTTTTGTTTATATTCTAAAGGTACTGTTGGTATTCTATCAGAATATTAGGCCGTTATTAAGTCAGTAAATATCGATAATATTGCCTTATTAACCTTTTGTCCATTTCAGTTATTAATTTCAGTTTTATTTCAGCCAGACCCGACAAGACTGTAGCATGCCCAGGATGCAAATCCGAGAATTCACGGTACGTGATTCGCTGCCGCGAAAATTTGTTTCTGACTTTGGGGCCGTATGTATGCTATCAGAGTGAAAGTCAAATCCTATGATTCCAGCAGACAAAAGTTAGTCAATAGCCGTCTTCCTCCTAAACTATCAGTTAAAACTAGGGGCGACTATGCGTGTAACTTTGCACTAAAAAAAAGAAACCGCACTTAATAAACCACTTCCAGTGGTGTCCAGATGGTTCAACTAAGTTGAAACTTCTCCAAACCATGGGAATATTTCCTTTTCCCGCCACAACATGTATAAATACAACATCAGTTTGGACTGGTTCTTGAAGCACTGAAGGCACGTGTCATTAACAGCAATAATTCTTAAGCCAAAACACACACTTTTGAAGAGTTCTCATTAACACCTAAGTTGTCATGTCATTAGTGACGTAATCACCTTTCCTAAATATCTACTTGCACAATTGTCTCTTCAAAGAAATAGCAAAGAAAGTGGAAGTGTGTGTGACACGAAAAAATCTTATAAAAAATGAATTCCAAATACACTGGACTTCGCACAGAAATGAAAATGTTGACGTTAAAAGTTGAAAAAATATTTTTTTTCTTATATAGTTTATCTACCACAAGTAAACCCCTCCAAGCTTATAAATAAAGCAGGCAATACGTGTTTGAATTGTGTGGGGAAAACACGTTCCTAATCTCCGAGT